GATTACAAGATATACTATTTCCAAAACTTGAAATCCAATTTATTCCCCTATCCATCCATCTTGATGTCGAGATAATCAATTAGAGGATATTTAAACATCAAAACAACCTTTTCTAATGAAATTTTTGAGGTACGCTCTAATTTGATTGTTTAGAGCCTCACACTTATATAAACTTTTTCCTTATTTTTATTGGCTAGAGTGGGATTCTTGTTGGTAGAGAATGACTTTGCATTAGGGAGCTAGAGGGGTCATTATTTATATCTACTGGTTAGGAAAAGATTTTCTAAGTTTTGTCTGGCACTGAGTAATATAAGGGAAACTATTTCCACTTCCATCGTCCTTATCACTTAAGAATCTATCTATAATGATTGGGCATGAATTTAGAAAGTAGATGTTGCCATTGCAGAGTTTTTAAATGGTGTTGGTCCCTTGGATTATGTCAAATTGTCCTAGGTTTGGAGGTAAATAGGTTTATTTATTCACTCTTTCTTCTTTTTTAAAATATTCTTGTCTTTATTCATTTCTTTAACGGTCGTCTTCTAACTCGTTCAAGAGTAGATACATGGCAAATACATAGAAGACAACCATTTACGCATAAGAATCAGTCTGCATCTAAGATTTGCTGACAATTTTTTTTTTGATACAAGGAAACTGAAGATTGTAACACAATTTGGCTTGTGCAAATGAAAGTACTAGCCGTGTCTCTTTTCTAAAGAGAAAGATTATATAAAATTTGGAATTTGGTAAAAACTTGTTAGTAAAAGAGTGGGTTCGAGTCCTGTTTTTTTTTTTGTGTGATAATATTTGAAAAAATTATTAATATGATAGAAGATTATAACCATCTAATTATTATAAACAAGTCATATCGTCATATACCACCAAAGAAGAGTGTGAAGCACCTTTTTTGGCCAGAGCATCAGCCATTTCGTTCGCCTCCCTATATACATGATGAAAAGATTTCGAGTTTCATTTATAAAGAGAAAAAGTGCCCTTTCACCTTGACCCAATGTGACTGTGACTCTTGAATTCCCAACCGTCAGAGGGATCCAACAGTTACACAGTAGGACACCTATTAGGGTTAACATCTGTCGACCTTAATAAAAGGCTAATTACGGTTAAAGAATAACAAGCCATGGGGCATACACATGCACGGGTGCCTCTTGTGCTGATGCAAGTGTAAAGCGCGTTTCAAATGCCCTCGTAAATGTATATACATATTTGCATTGCACACTTCGTGTGCTCGTCCTTCTCTCTTTGGTTTTTATTAAAACATAATGATAGCGGTGTTTCCATATTTAAGCACCACTTTCCTTCCTCCATTCCTCAATGTGCTCTAAGTAACTCACTTCTCCTCCTACAAACAAGAACAAACACACTTTCAAAAATGTTGAATTTCAAAAAGTATATTAGTTTAAAATAATAACTAGTATTTTTCATATAAACAATACAACATTTAGTACCCTTATTTTCTTTCACGTGGAAAAAGAAAAAATATTACCTTTTTTCTAAACCAATAAATTATATTCAATAGCCTTGTGAATGATTTGGATCCAAATTGATTCTTCTTAGTCTCAAAAGATTATTGTTTGGATCAAAATTTGCAATTGGGCAATATTTTCTCAAAACTAGCCTCCCCATTCTTGAACCTAAAATTCCATTCCATCTTTCTTGAAATCTCGCCCTAATTTCTCGTGTTAGAGCGCTCTAAAATAGTTTATATAGAGCCGAGGCTCCAAACAATCAAATTCGAACCTACTCTCAAAAATTTCACTAGAAGAAGATTTTTTTATACCCAAATACCTTCAAATTGATCATCTCGACAATGAGATGCATGGACATGAGAAAAAAAAATAGATTTCAAATTTTGTAAATAGTGTATTTTATAACGCATTTTTGGACCGTCAATTTTCAA